CCGTTCCCCAGCCCCCCGCTGTCCACCCCCCCCCCACTTGGGCCCCTGCCATGTGATTTCATGGCCACATCCTTTGTGTGACCTCAGCCTGAGCCTCTGAGCTTTCCTCATGTGTCCGATCCCAGGACCTACTGTTTGGAAATTCCTTTTACTATGCGGTTTAAAGCAGATGAATCAAGTTCATACCAAACCAATTAAAGAAGCAAAAAGGCAAGGGAGCCTGACATCACATTTTCCCTTGGTTCCTCTCTTCCCTCCAGGGCCCGCTGACTCGGCCTGGCCACTGCAGGCTGCGGCGAGGCTGCTGGCGCTCTGCCTCCACTGAGCGTGGGTCAGGGATGGCCCGCTCCCTGGGAAGGGGCTGGCGTCCAGCCAGACAGCTTGGGAAGGGAGGTGGGAGAAGCGAGGGTCATAGGCCCCAGGGAACCGGCTGGAGCCAGCAGTGTCACTGTTTTGCTAGAATTAGAGCTCCTGAACTCCTGAAGCCAGTGGGCATTTTGCACCCACCCCGTCCCGTTTTTTGTCTCCCTAGTGGCAGGGTCCACTCAGAGCTGTAGAAGTGGGTGCTGTCACAGCACCCCACCCTGCCATGGCAGCGTGAGGCGCAGTTAGTGGGGGAGAGAGATGTGACCAAGTGGGAACCTCGGCTGGAGGATGGAGACACAGGGTTTTGTCTGACCCCTGGGCCCTCAAGGTGGCTGGTGTATATGCGAATGTTTAAAAACCTCCACCTCCAGCCCTGGCCTGTGTGGCTCAGTGGGTTGGGCGTCATCCTGTGCACCAAAAGGTTGCTGGCTCGATTCTGGGTCAGGGAACATGCCCAAGGAAGGGGAATGCAGGAGGCAGTCAACTGATGGTCAGCTCTCATATCAATGTCTCTCTCTCTCTCTCTCTCTCTCTCTCTCTCTCTCTTCTTTCTTACTCTCTTTCTAAAATCAATTTTTGAAAAATATATTAAAAAAACACCACTGCAACCAGGCCTGCTTTGGCTGGGCCATCGGAGGGGTAGGGATGGGGTGAAGGGAGCCCCGGGCTGAGGATTACACAGGCCAGAGTGGAACAATGACGGGTCTGATCCAACACACATGGAACAGCTGCGCAGTCACCCCTCACTCCCTCTGTGTTGAATCAAACGAGAGTCAACAGAGCCCCAAAGCCTTCAGAGTCCCCACCCCAACACACATGTTCAGGTACACACACGCATGCACACCCAAGCATGCACAGAAGCTGATGCAGACCAGGGTGTGTGGGCAGATGGAGTCAGGTGACCCGGCTCCCAACTCCTAAGGTGTGGTCCAGTGGTTCGCGATGCTGGTGGAGAGAGGCTCTGACTCCTACGCAATGAAGCAGACCCCACAGGTGATCAGGCTTCCAGGCTGCTGGTGAGCGTCAGGGGTGTTTAATCTGTAACCGCCCACCCTGTCTGCATCTTCCGAAGAGTGGGGCCCATTGGACTTGAGTGCGGTCAGGACTGAGAGCGGTGGCCAGGCAGGGCCCTGCTTTTACAGGGCTGTTACAGTCGGGTGGAGTGACATCCATCTGGGGTCTGCAGACTTGGGGGTAGGAGCTTCTTTCTGTAGCTCTAAAGCTTGAGGTTCTGGATGAGGGGGTGGAGGGAAGGGCTGGTGGCAAGGTCCTGGAGCCAGGCAGGGCTTGGGGGACGAGCTGATGAGGGTCCCGATGGGCTCCCCAGTGGCCCAGGACTAAAATGCCATAAGAGACTGCCAAGCAGAGCCGACCTTCAGAGTGAGTGTCCCGGACACACACACACACACACACACACACACACACACACACCTAGGACAGTTTTAGCTCCTGGCCCTGGTGCCTGGGCTTGGGGTGGGCAGTTGGGAAGGGAGGGGGTGGGCAGTGACTGCCCACTGAACGTGCATCAGCCTCCACACTCATCAGAATTGTGTGTCTCTTCAGCAGCCACTGGTGCGGTTGAGAGGTGGTGCCAACATCGGGGAGGGCCGCGTGGAGGTGCTCAAGAACGGCGAATGGGGTACCATCTGTGATGACAAGTGGGACCTGGTGTCTGCCAGCGTGGTCTGCCGAGAGCTGGGCTTTGGAAGTGCCAAAGAGGCCGTCACTGGCTCCCGGCTGGGCCAAGGTAAGGAGTGGGAGGACATGCGGTGGCCTCTCTCCACGGGGACCATGGCAGAGGAGCCCAGCACGGCTGGCTGCAGGGGCTTCCCAGGCTCTCCTTGCGTCTCCTCCTGCCCCCAACGGCTGCTTCTCTTAGAGACTCTCAGGCCTCTCCCTGGGTGGTCAGAGCTGGAAGGGCCTTAGGGAAACTGAGTCCCCATGTTCCGGATTTGGAAGCTGAGACCCAAAGAAGGGAGATGAGACAACATATTAGCCATCAATGAGTAACAGGGGTCTCCCAACCCCTAACCCAGGGCTCCCACTGCCCCGCTGGGCAACTGGAAATCTTGGGAGGGTCCTCCAGGAGAGGGCCTCAGCTTTCATCAGGCTGTGGACCACCCCGGGCACAAAGGAACCCCCATGTCCTCTTACTCTCCCACTCCGCACAGCCCCGCAAACCTCCCTGCCCCCAGACACTGGGAACGTGATACCCCTCTCCGATGTCATGGGATGCTAAGGAGAAGGGGCCTGGTTTTTATTAAGTGTCCTGAACAAATGTTCTGTTTGAGAAAAGAACAAAACACAAGGGACTTTCAAGCTGAGAGCAATGTTGTGGACGTGACATGACAACACAACAGAGTGTCCCTTCCCTCCTGGCCCATGAAGGCCACTGACCCGTGCGGGCCCTGGGTCTTCAGAAGGAGGCCCTTCACCCAGACACTGCAGCCCAGGGAGTGCCCAGCCTCTCCTGGGAACTGTGGGCTGAGCAGGGAAGCAGCCCTCAGTGCTGACCTGCAGGGCGGCTGCAGTGCACCTGGCTGGAGGGCCGGGAGGAGGGAGAATGGGCAGGGAGGAGGTGTGCGGTGTCCTGTCCTGAGGGGAAAGGATGTTTCCAAGCTGTCAGACACAGGGCCATTGCCCCACAAAAAGGAATGCAGTGAGGTCATAGATCCCAGCCCAGAGATGGAAATAATAGCAGGGACTGGAGAGAGTCCTGGCTTGTGAGGCAGCATTGCTAGAGGGGAGCTCAGGCTGTCTACTCCCAACAATGAGGAATTTGAGGCTCTGGAGAACAGCCCGAGGTCAATTGATAGTTAATGGTAGAGAAAGACTGACACCCCAGTCCTCTGACTCAGATTTGGGCCTTTCCCTATGCAACAAGTTTTGCTCACTTTCAGAACACCTCTCTACCGTCACTCTGCAGACTTCCTGGGCATGCACTGAAGTTTGGGGTCTAGGGTGGACTTTAATGTCACAGTGTACCTGTTAGGCCGTGCAACAGTCCTCGTCCTTCCTGGTATGGGCTTCCCTTAAATCTCGAATATTTAGAACAGAGCATTTTTCTGGTTGGCTGATGTGATGGTTTGTGCTCTCCCAAGGCCAACAGGGCAGAGACCAAGCTTGTTTTGAGGAATAAACAAGCACTGGGTAACATAAACATCCCATGACTCCTGGGTATGTGCTGTTTGACCTAATTACTGCACTGCCCAGAGCAGCCAAAGGCTTCCAAGGGCCTGCAGAACTCTGGGAGAATGAGACATTTATGATTCACGAAAGAACCATTGGATGATTTACTATCTGTTGCCACACTGGGTGGGGTCAACTCTGATGGGCAGAAAGAGAAAAGTCCGCAGTCAGTGTCAGGCCACAGAGCAGATGGGGTCCGTCCCGCAGTCCTGGCTCTGACTGGTAGAGCAGTGACCACACCCAAGTGAGGGCAGTGAGAGGGTGACCACTGAGAGTCCCAGTCCCAGACCTGCCCCTGCTTGCACAGTGCCTTTGAGTGGCCTTCTGGGCCTCAGAGTTTTTCTGGATTTATGTCTGAGGTTCTGTCTGACTCCAGCCTCCTGTGATTCTCTGAAACTTGTGCTTCTCACCAGGATGGATGTCAGGTCAGAGTCGGGCACTGTGCCTTGTGGTGCGGGATCCCCCGCACTCAGACCGCATTCCGTTCCGGTCGTCTGTCTATGCATCCGCCAACCCCCGGGACTGAGTGCTGCGTGCGGGGAGGGCCTCTGTCTGTTATCTCCGTGTCCTTAGTGCCGAGTCTGTGCCCAGCTTGTATTGTGCCAGGAATACTAATTTTATCAAGAATGAATGAATGGATGAATGAATGAGTTCCGGTTGCACAAGTAGGGTCAGCTGAACTAACATAGTAAAGAAGTTTACACATTCCAGACTTGCATTGTCCAATAGAAATATTATGCAAGCTATTTACCTATTTAACAGTTTCTAGACATAATTTTAAGCTTTCTAGTAGCCATGTAAAATAAGTAAACAAACAAACAAAAAGCAGGAGAACCCTGGCCAGGTGGCTCAGTTGGTTGGGCATCGTCCCATCCATCAAAAAGTTGTCAGTTTGATACTCAGTCAGGGCACATGCCTGGGTTGCAGGCTCAATCCTCAGTGGGGAGCGTGCTGGAGGCAGCTGATTGACGTTTTGCTCCCACATTGATCTTTCTCTCTCCCTTTCCTTTCCTCTCTCTCTCAAAAAAAAATCAATAAAAATATTAACAACAAGAAGCAGGTGAAATTACTTTTAATAATATATTTTCTTTACCTAGAAAATATGAAATATTTTTATTTCAACATGAAATCAATATAAATGCTATTAATGAAATAATTGACATTTTGTGTACCAACTCCTTGAAATCCAGGGTGTTATGTACACTCACAGTACATCTCAGTCTGCACTGGCCGCAGTCCAAGTGCTACTGCATTGGACAGGGAAGCTCTAGAACAGCGATTTTCAGCTGGTGTACTGCAAGAATTTTTAAAAACATGTGATACCTGACTATTTAGCCAGGAGCACTGACCTCTTTTCCCTTAGATTATCAAGTAACAGCGTGACAACTGCCAATACAACAATAGCCGTCCAGTGTGAATGAATCAACATTTATACTTTTTTTGTCTGATTGGCAAAAAATATAATAAATTTTTTGTGTGCCGCAGAATTTTAGTAATTAGTTTATGTGTACCATGAGATGAAAAGGTTGAAAATCACTGCTCTAGAGCTTTAAAACCCTTTTGCTTGCAATGCCCAATCAGAAATACATGTGACAGTGTATGCCAGACACATAAAGCTGAAATAAAACTTTGTGAAACAATGCTAAATAACCTTTACAACATGCAAAAAACACTGCTGTCTCCTAGTTTCTTCTTTTGGGCGCTTAAAAATGTGATTGCAACCTGCAGAGTTGTTTGTGGATCCAGAGTCCATACCTGGCTCCCTGTAGTCACCTGGGGCCAGGGTTTGTACAAGAAGGAAGAGCAGGGCCAAGGTGGAGGTGGGGAGCAATCCAGGGTACAGTCCAGAGCCCAGGAATAAGCAAAAGCTGGGGATCAGGATGCAGGTTAAACCTCGGTCAACAAGAGAAGGCAGGAGTCTCGGACCCTACTGGCTGTGCTGCAGCCAGTGCCTTCCATTGACACCTCCTGCCCTGCCCAACCCACCTCAGAACTGGGTGGTGCAGAAAACAAGGGTGAGAAGCACTGGTTTCCCCAGCTCGGTGCTCTGCCTGGTGCCCATGAATATGCATGCTGCGGGAAAGCGGGCCATGCTCTCTGGGCCTCGGCCCCCGGTGTCTGAGAAAGCCACATAAGTTTACATCAGTTAGGCCAGAAGGAGACTAACCAGATGTTTGTTGGAGTCTAAAGCATGCTAAGCTCTTGTGTTAATATTTCCTCTGTAGTTTAGCAATCCACAAACACTCGTTGAGTTAGTATGTGTTCTGCACGGTGCAATGGAGAATTTACTTATTCCACAATCACTTATGGTAATCGTTTCTGTTCTCTAGGAGCTCATCTCAAGTGGAGAAAATGATATAACCCCAAAGATAACTTACACTAACAAAGAGGTGATGACATGTAAGAACTAATACTAAAAAGCCCTAGCCGGTTTGGCTCAGTGGACAGAGTGTCGACCAGCAGACTGAAGGGTCTCGGGTTCGAATCCAGTCAAGGGCATGTACCTCAGTTGCAGACTTGATCCCCAGCCCTGTTTGGAACACATGCGGGGACAACCAATTGATGTGTCTCTCTCACATTGATGTTCCTCTCTCTTTCTGTCTCTCCCCTTCCCTTCTACTCTCTCTGAAAATCAATGGAAAAAATATCCTCTGGTGAGGATTAACAAAATAATATAATAATAATGAAAATAATACCTACCATTGGGCCAGTTATTTAATCTTTCATCTCCAGTTTCCTCATTTTATTGGGTTGTTGAGATGATTTAATGATTTAATAGAAGCAATGTGTATAGGACAGAATCCAGCACAGAGTAAGTGCTCAAATATTAGATATTCTCATCACCACAGTCATCATCCTCACTGTCATCCTCATCATCACCACCACCATCATTATATCATTACCATCATCATCACCACCACCATCATTATACCATTACCATCATCATCACCACCATTATTACCACCACCATCATCACCACCACCATCATTATACCATTACCATCATCATCATCACCATTATCATCACCATCATCATCACCACCATCATCATGATCCTCACAATCATCAAACAAATTCTGCCTGATCTAACTGGAGTCCCGGGTTGCTGCCCACTTCTACGCCCATCTTAACTCATGAGCTGTGGCCTCCGCTTGCTTCAAGAGCCCTGTTTAGAATCTCTATTTTGTCACAGCCTTTCCACTCTGAGTCCTTGGATGCTTCCAGCCATAGTTACAGATGTGTTTTTTGTAAATTTTGTAAAATTCTAGGGAATTGTAGGCTTCATCGCTTATGAATTTCCAAGGAAATGGAACTTGGCTTTTATAACATGGGTTGCTCTTAGAAGTTAATTTTTGGCCTCAGTGAGCCTAGATACTAGTGTCTTCAGACCCCGTGGCATAGCCAAGCGCCCTTCCTTTAGGTTCAAAACATAGGTAGGCCCTGGCCAGGTGGCTCAGTTGGTTGGAGTGTCATCCCAAACACCAAAAGGTTTAGGGTTCGATTCCAGGTCAGGGCATATACTTAGGTTGTGAGTTTGACCCAGGTGTGTATGGCAGGCAACCAATTGATGTTTCTTTCTCCCTTTGATGTTCTCTCTCTCACTCTCTTTCTCTCTAAAATCAATAAAACATATCCTCAGGTGAGAATTTTTTTAAAAATCATAGGTAGTCACCTCCATCTTTTACCACATTACAAGTCCTTGCATAAGT